AGACGGGGTCTCGCTCTTGCTCAGGCTGGTCTCGAACTCCTGAGCTCAAACAATCCGCCCGCCTCGGCCTCCCAGAGAGCTCGGATTACAGGCGTGAGCCACCGCACCCGGCCTCTGTTTTTTAATTGATATGTAATAGTTGTACATATTTTAGGGAATTGAACATTTTTTTAAGATTAAACTTCGTATTACCTTTTATTTTTCTGTAGTTGATCCTGTTTCCTGTATAACTTTTTGAATTGGTACAGTATGAAGTATTGGAGTAATTTGTGAAGGGAGGTGGTTGGAAAGAGTAGTTTGTACTTTGTTGTGAAATTCTGGGGTGTGTTTGTCTGTGCACACATTTCAAATGCCTGATGAATACCACAGTCATGTACGCCTACCTATAACTTTACCATTCTTGTAGGTACACAAGACATTTTATGTTTCTTTCTAATGAGAATAGTAAAGATGAAAACTACTAGAGAAACTTCATTAGGTTGAGTTATTTGTTTCATTCTTCTTGAATGTGGTGCAATGATTAATATTTTTTAAGTCCTGTGTCATAATTTAATTAAATTGATTTCTGAAATTTCTTTCCAAAAGGTTTCACTGGAAGAAAAAAATGCAACTATTATTTATGACCCTAAACTACAGACCCCAAAGACCCTACAGGAAGCTATCGACGACATGGGCTTTGATGCTATTCTCCATAACCCTAACCCTCTCCCTGTTTTAACTGACACCGTGTTTCTGACTCTTACTGCTTCACTGGCTCCACCATGGGACTATATCCAAAGCACATTGCTCAAGACCAAGGGTGTGACAGATGTTAAAATTTCCCCTCAGCAAAGAACTGCAGTAGTGACAATAATCCCTTCTATAGTGAATGCCAATCAGATAATAGAGCTGGTTCCAGATCTCAGTTTAGACATTGGAACACTGGAGAAAAAGTCAGGAAATTGCGAAGATCATAGTATGGCTCAAGCAGGTGAAGTCATGCTGAAGATGAAAGTGGAAGGGATGACCTGCCATTCGTGCACTAGCAGCATCGAGGGAAAAATTGGGAAACTTCAAGGTGTTCAGCGAATTAAAGGTAATATATCTGGTATTGTTTGATTATTTTGTAAGGCTTCGTTTTCTGTTTCGATCTTTTAACTTTTGACTTTCTTCTTAAGCATGGGTTTTGAATCCATGGGACTAGAGTGCTTATTGCTTCATTGAAGTCTGAGGTACAGCACAGTCCCAGGATTAATGTCAGTAAAGTTAATGATTATAATTAAAGGTTACATGAACCTTGAATTGAAGTTTAGCAGAAACAGCAGCTGCGGTGACGATTCATGGAGTTCAGGGTTCTCAATACAACATGCCTGGGATACTCTTTACCTCCGATATGTTTCTACTAAGGCATGCTGAAACTTGGAGACCATAGCTACGATAGTCATATCTTTTACTTGTTTCCAGTCTATGTCAATACTATTTTCTGAAAAGAAGAAAATTATTTTAAGGAAAGATGATGACAAGAGTGAGAGAAAAACAATTATTTGTGGTTATTGATTCAGTTGTTTTCTGAAGTGGCCCAGGAATAACTGAATGAAATAATTGTTTCTTTTTATTAACTAGTCTCCCTGGACAACCAAGAAGCTACTATTGTTTATCAACCTCATCTCATTACAGTAGAGGAAATAAAAAAACAGATTGAAGCTATGGGCTTTCCAGCATTCATCAAAAAACAGCCCAAGTGCCTAAAATTGGGAGCTATTGATGTGGAGCGTCTAAAGAACACACCAGTCAAATCCTCAGAAGGATCACAGCGAAGGAGTCCATCATACACCAGTGACTCAACAGCCACTTTCATCATAGATGGCATGCATTGTAAATCATGTGTGTCAAATATTGAAAGTGCTTTATCTACACTCCAATATGTAAGCAGCATAGTAGTTTCTTTAGAGAATAGGTCTGCCATTATAAAGTACAATGCAAGCTCAGTCACTCCAGAAGCCCTGAGAAAAGCAATAGAAGCTGTATCACCAGGGCAATATAGAGTTAGCATTGCAAGTGAAGTTAAGAGTACCCTGAACTCTCCCTCCAGCTCATGTCTTCAAAAGATTCCTTTGGACATAGTTAGCCAGCCTCTGACACAAGAAACTGTGATAAACATTGATGGCATGACTTGTAATTCTTGTGTGCAATCTATTGAGGGTGTCATATCAAAAAAGGCAGGTGTAAAATCCATACGAGTCTCCCTTGCAAATAGCAGTGGGACTGTTGAGTATGATCCTCTACTAACCTCTCCAGAAACCTTGAGAGATGCAATAGAAGACATGGGATTTCATGCTACCTTGTCAGGTAATTATCATTTTTTCTTTGATTTCACTAATATTCTTTTATTTACATTTTGCTATTTCTTTTGGCTTTTATCAATGAGAAACGCTTCATAGGCACTACCATTCCACTTTTTGCAGATAAGTCCCATAGAGGTAGTCAGTGACGTATACAAAGATGCATAAGGCTGTTTGTATAAGTATTTATAATATTGAAAACCTAGAAACAATAAATAACTTATGCTACAAGTATATGATGAATGCTATGAAACCATAAAAATTATGGTATTAAAGATACTTAATGTCAGGAAAAGTATATGAGATATTTTGTTAAACAAACAAAAAACAAACCAAGCTGAAAAGTTATACATACTGTGATCAAAATGTTATAAACAAATGTGTATGAATTTATACCATGTATATATTATTTATGTATATGAATGAATAAGATTCCTAGTAGGACATGAACCAAGATTTTAACAATGATTATCTTTGGACGGTAGGTTAATGATTTTTATTTCTATTGTGCTTTCCTGTGTATTGTAAATTTCTTTTACAACAAGGATGTATGTGTGTATGTACGTATGTGTTTATGTATTTATATAATGGGAGAAGTAAATGCCATTTTAAAAAGAAAAGAGGCCGGGTGTGGTGGCTTACGCCTGTAATCCTAGCACTTTGGGAGGCTGAGGTGGGAGGATCACTTGAGGCCAGGAGTTCGAGACCAGCCTGGGCAATAGTGAGACCCCATCTCTACCAAAATAGAAAAGAAAAGAAAAGAGATAGAAATAAAAATAAAATTTTAACTGGGGTTCTATAGTTAGGCATTCAAATTAAACTGACTCCAGAGCTATCCCAAAGTCTTCATATTTCCTGACAGCTTTTAACTTTGAACTAAAACCAAAAATGTATTTCCAGTGGAATTTACCTATGTGAACTTGTTGTTTTGAACCTGGCCTTGAATTAAACTGAAAAATGCCCTAATGAAATTTCTTGCTTTAAATAACAATTGAAAAGTTATACAACTAATTTCCAGCCAATGTCATTAATCTTTGCTATTCCGATTAGAATGAAGGCTATAAAATAGTAATATTTCCTTTTTAAGCTCACTAAAACTGAATCAAAAATTTTATTAAATACATGCCCAAATTATTATGGTAGATAAGTGTTAATAAGAGAGGACCCAGAACATATACCAAACACTCTTAATTTTCATATTGATGATAAATAGTAGAAATTATAGAATTTTCACTTTTTAAAATAGACATGTAGTTTGCATACCATAAAATTTGCCCTTTTAAAGTGTACAATCCAGTGGTTATTAGTATATTCACAGATTTTTGCAGCCATCACCACTATATAATTTTAGAACATTTTCATCACTCTAGAAGAAACCTCATACCTATTAGCAGTCACTGCCCATTTCTCCTTCCCCTCCCCCAGCCCCTGGTAACCTTTGTTCTATTTTCTATCTTTATGAATTTGGCTATTCTGGATACCTCATACAAGTGGAATCATATAATATTTGTCCTTTTGTGTCTGGATTCTTTTATTTAGTATAATGTTTTCAAGGTTCATTCGTGTTGTAGTATGTACTAAAACTTCATCCCTTTTTAATACTGAATAATATTCCCTTATATGGATATACTGCATTTTTGTTTCTTCGTTCATTAGTTGATAGAAATTTGGATTGTCTCTACTCTTTGACTATTATGAAAAATGATGCTATGAACGTTTGTGTTCAAGTTTTTGCATGATCAAGTGTTTTTATTTCTTCTGGGTATATACCTAGGAATGGAATTGCTGGATCATGTGGTAACTCTATGTTTACCTTTTCGAGGAATGGCCACACTGTTTTCCAAAGTAGCTGCACCATTTTACATTCCCACCTCGATTTCTCATTTTAATATAGAAAATCTCAAAAGAGATTATGTGCCCTAAAAAAGAAATTGTTCTCTATTAGAAAATTCATACAGAATACCAAAATGTTAGAGCCTCCAGTACCAAAAATCTTAACAAATTATAGGAAAATCCATAATTGCAAAAGGAAATAATTATGAAACCAGAAGAAAAATTTAAATAGGAAACATTGGAAGTGAAACTATATCAGGTAGCCATAAAAAATGACTAAAATTAGTTTCAGCAAAATTTATTAATAGTTTTATCTATCACCACTTACAATTTTTAAAAATTTTCAAAATGATGATGTTTGAAATTAGATCGATTCCACATTTCACTACTTCGTAATGTTGGATTATCCTTCAAAGTTTCTGTTAAGTTAAAATACTTTGGCATACATAATGCATTATGTTGTCAATGATGGACACCACATAAGTAAGTTTAGTTTACATGAATATCACTAAAACAAGTTACATTGTAATATTCCTATGCCTCTTACATATAGGAACTCAAATATCAATTTATATCACATATGATAGAAAACATATTTTTCATGTTCAAATCTGGTACTTGTCTTTATACTAAGCAAGGGTCTCACAAACTTTCAGATCGGACTCAAAAATGGAATTTTTTATATTCCCTTGGGTGTGTATTTTTGCATCTTAAAGTATAGTTCTCAGACCAGCAGCACCCAGGACCTTGTTAGAAATACAGATTCTCTGGCCCATTGCAGACCCATTAAATCAAAATCTGCATTTTAATTTTAATGAGCTCTCCAGGTAATTCATATGCCCATTAAAGTTTGAGAACACTGGTATAAATAATTTTCTGCATTGACCTCTATGAATAAAATATATGAATTAAATCTATGTTAACTTCATTTACACAAACAAGTCCAGAAGCTTGATTCAATGTGATGATAATACCAGTCATGTGCCACATAGTGATGTTTTGGTCAATGATGGGCCATATATACAATGATGGTGATCCCATAAGATTATAGTGGAGAATATATATATATAAGACTGATATATGGCACTTATTATTGGCATTGCAGACCAAGAAGGGGAAATGATTGATATTCAGGGCTGGGCATGCTAGCTCATGTCTGTAATCCTAGCACTCTGGGAGGCCAAGGCAGGAGAATCACTTGAGCTCAGGAGTTCGAGAACAGCTTGAGCAAGAGCGAGACGCCGTCTCTACTAAAAATAGAAAGAAATTAATTGGACAACTAAAAATATATAGAAAAAATTAGCCGGGCATGGTGGCGCATGCCTGTAGTCCAGCTACTCGGGAGGCTGAGGCAGGAGGATTGCTTGAGCCCAGGAGTGTGAGGTTGCTGTGAGCTAGGATGATGCCATGGCGCTCTAGCCTGGGTGACAGAGCAAGCCTCTGTCAAGAAAAAAAAAAAAAAAAGATTGATATTCAATAATTGTGCTGGGACATTTGGTTTTCCATATGAAAAAAATTCATATAAAATACATATACCATCTATGTTTGTATGAGTACACTTTACGGTGTTCACACTCAAATTGCCTAACAATGCATTTCTCAGAACGTGTTCCCATCGTTTATGTGACACATGACTGTATCATATTAAATAATATAATTTAAAATAACTAGTATTTTATGAGGTTTTATATAACAAATGTGACCAGAGCAAAAGCAACTTTCAAATTATCTTAGGTGGCTTCAAAGATTGACTTGAACAATAGGAGAAATTTCGAGCAGACTAGTAAGTGGAATTTAAGAGTACCTAATCCATCACTGGCACTGATTAGATAGCATCTACCTAGTCCTCGGGAACCATAAATGCAGCATGTTCAGTAACTTAAAAGTGTCTTTCACCGCTACCTACTATTGTTAAGGACCCTGGGAATCAATTATTCGACAAATTACCAGGAGCCTGTTATGTCCCCCATGTCTGTTACAGCTCATAACAAACACATTAATGGCCATGATGGATAGGTAAAAATCCTTGGTACAGTGAATATCACCATAAAAGAACTGATAGAGCTGTGACTAGTAACCCACATTATTGGGATAAAAGGTTGGTATCAAATGACTGACTGCATTCTGTGATTCTGCAAGAGTTTAAGATGCCACCAGAATTGTGGCTACCCATTTTGTGAGCGTCAGTGTCAGTGCTGATCCAGGCCTCACCATCTACCACTGTGACCCGTCGTTAGACAGAGGGATTGGCACATTTTACCTTTATGTCATAATAGTCCTGGGTGGGCCAGGTAATGAGGAAAATGGGAGATACCTTTTATCATGAGCATCAATGTCATCATTCTCTTAAAGTAAAAAGACATATACGAAGTTAAGTAATCACTAAGCAATTAAAGCAAACAAAGTACTTGATTAAATTCCTTCTCTTTTTCATAACTTTTTATTTTTAACTAATTTCAAACTTACAAAACTGTAAAAATAGTACAAAGAATTCCTGTTTATCAATTTCACACAGATTCCCTAGTTGTTAATATTCTACCACATTTATTTTACCATTATTGATAGATGGATAGACATACATTTGTATATATAGACACATGTAATTTTTTCTGAAATATTTGAGAGTTAGTTGCAGACATGATGTTTATAATTGTTTTTAAGCCAGTTTCAGATTATATATTTGCTCTTCTCATTACACCAGACACAGAACCTCCTGCCAGTTTTGAATATCAGATTGGAAATCTTTCCTTGAAATTTTTGGAATCATTTCTAATTGTTGTCTCAAGTACAGGAAAGTCAACTTTCCTTTGGATTCATTTAAGCATAAGTAGTGTTGTTACAGACTGTAGACAAACTAATTAAAATAAACCAGCCATTTTATTCATTGTGACTTTTTTTTTTTTTTGAGACAGAGTCTCACTCTTTTGCCCAGGCTGCCATGGCATCAGCCTAGCTCACAGCAACCTCAAACTCCTGAGCTCAAGCGATCCTTCTGCCTCAGCCTCCCAAGTAGCTGGGACTACAGGCATGAGCCACCATGCCCGGCTAATTTTCTATATATATATTTTTAGTTGTCCAGATCATTTCTTTCTATTTTTAGTAGAGATGAGGTCTCGTTCTTGCTCAGGCTGGTCTCGAACTCCTGACCTTGAGCGATCCACCCGCCTTGGCCTACCGGAGTGCTAGGATTACAGGTGTGAGCCACCGCGCCGGCCTCATTGTGACTTTTTAACACCTTCACTGCCTCTGTGGAAGATGGAAGCCTTTGCTTTTTTGCTTGCCACATTCACAGGGTAAAGGTCACAGTTTTCTGGGTCTTTGTTTAGTGGTCATGCTAAGGTAGCTAAAAGGGACTACCTCTGTGATTTATTTTAGAGTGTGAAAATTATAGATGGTGTTCCAGGTTACCTCTGGTACCTGAAACAACTAAATTACTCTGGAGCAAGATGTAAAGCAGTTGGCAGTACAAAGTTTTTTTTCCTTGTCCATGTTCACAAATACGTTTCAATAGTAATTATGAGAGAATAAAGGAAGCTTCTATCTAGATTAAAATAATGGGTTTTTTTCAAAGCTGAAGCTATTTCCTTTTGTCAAATGAACCTCCTTTTTAAGTTTTTTAACATAACAGTGGTACTATTTGGTAAATTTCAACATCTGTGTTCTAAATAACGCTCTTACTATCTGAATGAATAGCTTTCTAAAGTGATTCACTTAAGATTAGAGACTGACTAATTTAGGAACACTTTGCTATTGAAAGCGTCCTTTGCTATACCCAGACTGGCTGCACTGCCATCACCTGGGAACTTGGTGGAAATGCACAATCTCAGGCCCCACCCTGGATGTACTGAATCAGAATCTGCATTTTAACAGCGTCCCTCCCCCTGGTGATTGTATGTGCATTAAAATTTAAGAGGCATTATTATACTCATTCGAGACGTCTACATCATTATTCTTTAGGGAAATGGTCAGGCTTTTGTTAAAGTTTCTTCCAAAGATCCTCTTCAACATCCTGAAAACCAACTGCCATGCAGGGGTTTGTGTACTAGCCAAATAGACCTGAACTGATGTTTTGTCCCAGGGGAGAAAGAACAAGTTACATAGATTAGTGGAAATTTATCCATCTCCTCTTTTCCTCCTTATCTCTGCAGGAGAGGAGAAAATCTTTGGCTTTTTTACAGGTCCAGGGATGTGTTAGAATAATTTCTCCCTTCTTGGGAGGTGATTAATACTGCAATGGATAAACTAAAACAGAATAGCGGATTTTCTGAAACTGCAAGGGAGCTTCTGAATTGATATGAGCTCCCACAGTCCATAGATATTCTATGTAAGGATTCTCTAAATACTCCTTTGCACAAAATGAAAATTACTGCTGACTTACTCCTTGCCTCTTTCACTGTCTACAAAGACATTTTTTTTTTTTTGAGACAGAGTCTCACTCTGTTGCCCCAGCTAGAGTGCCGTGGCGTCAGCTCACAGCAACCTCAAACTCCTGGGCTCAAGGGATCCATCTGCCTCAGCCCCCCAAGTAGCTGGGACTACAGGCATGTGCCACCATGCCCGGCTAATTTTTTCTATATATTTTTAGTTGTCCGGCTAATTTCTTTCTATTTTTTTAGTAGAGATGGGGTCTCGCTCTTGCTCAGGCCGGTCTCTAACTCCTGAGCTCAAACAATCCTCCTGCCTCAGCCTCCCAGAGTGCTAGGATTACAGGCGTGAGCCACCACGCCTGGCCCACAAAGACATTTTAAATTTTAAAAATACTATATATATTTGTGTAAAAAACTCAAACAATACAGAAGTTTAGATGGAGAAATTTATTCATCTGCCTATCATTCTATTCCTGCTTTAACCCCATTCCCGAGAAGTAGCCACTGTTAATAGTTTGATGTGTAGCCTCCCAGGCTTTCTTATGCATGTTCTCATATATGCATATACTCAAAAAATTTAAATAACATCATATTGCAATGCTGTTTTACAAATTGCTTTTTGTTTCACTTAATATACTGTGAATTGCTTTAACGCCAGTGTGCAAGTCATCAACATGATAATAAACATTCATTATAACAATCAGAATTATCCATTAACAAACTACTCTCTGCCTGGGGTTGAGGGTGGATATAATGGCTGAAAGAACTAAAATTTTGTAAATTTGGTTAGCTCAGATTCTCCTGGGAACTGAGATGAGCACTATTGAAATTGGAAGTCACTGCCTGGGAAAGCGTAAAGATAACTTATGGCTGAGGTCTAGTAGAACCTTGCTGGTTTTAAAGGGAAGGATTGGCAGTATCTGGAGGTATGGATTATGTTGCCTGACGAGAGTGTGGCTGGAGAATGATCAATACCACAAATGAAAAGAATCTTTCCCTTTCTACCAGACACACCTCCAAATGAGCCATTGGTGGTAATAGTTCAGCCCTCATCGGAAATGCCTCTTTTGACTTCAATTAATGAATGTTATCCTAAAATGATGACAGTATCGCATGACAATCAGGAGGCAAAGACTTCATCTAAGTGTTACATACAGGTTACTGGCATGACTTGTGCTTCCTGTGTAGCAAACATCGAACGGAATTTAAGAAGAGAAGAAGGTGAGATGCTCTTAAAGATTGTTGCTTGTTATTTTATGTGCTAGTTTGGGAATTTTGTCCTTTTGGTTCCTTTGTATGTTTTGTAACCATGTTTATGATTCTTGCCAAGGCCTCATAAAGACTATCAGTGATGTGTGGGACAATCCTGATTTCCTGACACGCAATTTTTGTTAGTGTTTTGTTCCCTTAGATAAAGTTCTTTCTTATGTCATTTACCTTGTGACCTCATTTTTATGTCCATGAAATTAGTAGAAAGATAGCAGAAGGAAATATACAAAATTACTATTCTTTATGGACCTTGGCTACGTTGGACTTTAAGAAACATAAAATTTCTTTTAAAATTGTGCTTAAAACTGACAACTAGAATCCATGAGAGTTTCAGTATTACCATATCCAGACCAAAAACAAGTTTGTTTGGAATTATATTGTTCTCTTTGCTTGTAGTGAAAATGTTCAAAAGTTACTTAATATTTTGTACAAGTTTAAATTTTAGGTTACAAAGTCTTAGAAAATCTACAACACAATTTTTTTATTCAGTCACACTCAGATATTTTAGTTTATAGGCTGGGTGCAGTGGCTCACACCTGTAATCCCAGCACTTTGGGAGGCAGGGGCAGGAGGATTGCTTGAGGCCAGGAGTTTGATACCAGCCCGGGCAACATAGCAAAACCCCATCTCTAAAAAAAAAATGTTTTATAAATTTGCACTCTTATTTATAGACTTGCCAGTATAGCATAGATTTGTTGACCATACGGATACGTGATTATGTTTAATGACACCAAAGTCATAGGTTTGATATTTAGTCTGCCCTAGCCTCAGGTGTCTTAATGATACATGCTGTTAACTGTAAACTTATTCCCACTATTGAGGCAATAATTCAAAGTGTGTGTAGTAATCATATCACCTTATATATTAAGGTCAGAACATTATTATAACAAAACGTATGGCATACTGAGCCATCTTCAGTTCAATATTATCTTGTCTGCATTCCATCATTTTTGCATCCTTCATTTCAGCTTCCGTGATTCCTAAATGGAATATAGTCAAGGGTAAAGCTTATATTATCCTTTATTTGATTAATTAAAAAAGAAAAGGTAAGAGGTTGCCAAGCAAATGAAAGCAAAAAGAAGCTTGCAAGGTCTGGTTAATTTAAGAACCGACTATTTTGGGGCAATTAAGAAATAGCCTTTTTCATGAGACAAGCAATACATATGCCAATTATAAATCTTTTTTTTTAATCCATTAAAATGATCTTCCAGTTACTCCATACTATCCTCTTTACCACATCCCCTTTATGCTTTAACCCGATTAGGAATATCGTTAGCCTAGCCGTAGTCACTACATTCACTTTTCTTTTTTACAACTAAGTAGCACTGGTCTTCGCTCAATTTAGTTTGCATTATATTTTTAAAAATGAACCTCAAAAGAGTTCTAATTATAATCTGAAGAATTTTTAAATTATCTATAATTCGAATAGTATTAAACTTGTATTTTTGAAATTTGAAAAATCAGATTTTCCCTTCTATTTTTGTTTGGCTATAGATTATATTCAACTGAAGCAAAGATTTTTTCCTACTTTCTCTATACTGTACCTTTCTCTTATTACTGATACTTTCCCATGAACTGATCATCTGGATTGTTTGATATCCACAAAGCCCAAAATGTAAGCACTTTATGTAGAAAATTAGATTTTATTGGGTATTTTTTCTTATTGAAAACTATTGTTAAATTAATATTTGGTCATTTTTTTTTCTTTTTTATCAAACCTCAGAGTTGACCTATGGACTATTGATTCCCATTTCCTGTCAGGTAACCACCAGATGCCACAGATTCCTAGAAAAGGCTGCTATTTCTGCTATGTAGAACTAATTTTCTTCCTGGCAATGACAGCAATAGCTGGCTTAGAGAAGTGGATGGTTGTTAACAAAAGGTTTGCACCAGTGAATAGTGTGGCTGCCATAAAATGAACTCCTTTGTTTTGTTAACAAGTCGCATGGCACTTTTTTTTTTCCCCCAAGAGCTTCTAGATTAGTGTGTGCCAGACAGTAAAACTTGAGAATTTTTAGAAATGACTATTATTTGATAATATCATAATGTGTATGTTGGTACATTCTCAGATTCTTTACTTTAACTGTGATGATTTTCTATGTGCATGAGTTCCTTTCTCTGGGACTCTATGTTATTAGCTTCTAAAAATGCTTTATATTTACAAGATACATTCTCAACCAATTGTAATTCACAGGCCTTATTAGGAACCCAATTCAAAAAACCTGTTAAACTAATAAACAGTTATAAGACAGTTGTAGAAATGTGAATACTGGATATTTGATGATAGTGAAAAATTATTTTAGGTGTGAAAATTATATGGTTATTTTTAGAATCTTTTTCTTGTAGAGATACATATTTAAATTCATTTTTTAGAGACAGGGTCTCACTCTGTCACCCAGGCTGGAGTGCAGTGGCATGATCACAGCTTACTACAACCTTGAACCTGGGCTCAGGGGATCCTCCTGCCTCAGCCTCCTAAGCAACTAGGACTACAGGCACACGTTACCACACCCAGCTAATTTGTTTTTAAAATTTTTCATAGGTACGAGGTCTTGCCATATTGCCCAGGCTGGTCTCAAACTCCTGGCCTTAAGCGATCCTCCCACCTTGACCTCCCAAAGTGCTGGGATTACAAGTGTGAGCCACCTCGCCTGGCCTCATATTTAAATATGTACACATGAAAGGATATGATATCTGGGACTTGCTTCAACATAATCTGGGTCGAAAGCAGGGAGTGGAGTATGTAGGAATATAGATGAAATAAGATTAGCCAAGTATTATTGAAGCTGGATGATAGGTACATCAAGGTCATTATGTTGTTCATATATATATACATATATATATATTTATATATGTTTAAAAATTTCCATAATAAAAAGTTTAGCAAAATAAGGCTACCTTTTGAAATAGTTTTATTTGGCTTCGGTTCAAGACTGGTATAAAAGTTAAGTAATAAATTTCTCCAGATTCACTTTAATCCTTTGACAGTTAAATGAAAAATACTAAAAAGTTATTATAACATTACTCTTTTTTATAAGAAATGTTATCTGTATTGTTTTTCTTATCAATGTTCCTAGGAATACATTCCGTACTTGTGGCACTGATGGCTGGCAAGGCAGAAGTAAGGTATAATCCTACTGTTATACAACCCCCAATAATAGCAGAGTTCATCCGAGAGCTTGGATTTGGAGCCTCTGTGATAGAAAATGCTGATGAAGGGGATGGTGTGTTGGAACTTGTTGTAAGTAAGAATTTTTGCGTGATTAATAAAATTTTCAGGACAAACTTGGTGAGGGTTCAGAGAAGAGTTCTAAAGATAATTAAAGGTTGGAAAAATAAGACATACAATCAAAATTATGGAAACTGGAAAATGGAAGGATAAGATATACCTTAATGCTGGTCTTCTAGCATGGAACATAAAAGATAATTGTCATATCTTTATTAAGAATCA